AACAATCAGAAAGGAAGAGTGTTGGCCCACGTGAAGGTAGACTGACGGGGACCAGGGGAATCTACCCTAGCGGATCCACTGATTATAATGAAGCTAGGGAAGGAACAAAATAAAGTAGAATTTTTGGTAGACATAGGAGCTACGTATTCGGTTTTAAATCAAGCTTTGATGCCCTTGGGGAATGACTATATTGTAGTAAAAGGGGCAACTGGCCAAAGTGAAAAGGCATATTTTTGTGAACCTTTGGAGTATAAATTGGGGAAACGATGGGGCATCCATAGGTTCCTGTACATGCCCAACTCCCCGAAAGCACTTTTGGGGAGAGACTTGTTGGAGCAATTGGGAGCAGTAATTAAATTTGAAAAAGGAGACATTACTCTGGAGGTAAATGACCAACAGTATATCCAAATAATGAGTTTATCTCTAGCTAGTATACTCACAGAAGGAGAAATCAGTGAAGAAATGACGAACCAGGTGTATCCCGGGGTACGGGCCACTGATGTACCCGGAAGAGCAAAAAATGCTTTACCTGTTGATGTCAAACTCAAAGAAGGACAACAGCCGGTAAGAATCAAACAATATCCCCTGAGGAAGGAGGACAGGGAGGGAATTCATTTTAACACTGGCACCACAGGTACCAGCCTGATGGGTACCAGTACCACAGGTACCAGTACCATGTGTACCAGCACTGTGGGTACCGGCACCATGGCTACCGGCACCACTGGGTACCAGCCCCATGGGTACCCGCACCACTGGGTACCAGGACCACAGATACCAGCCTCGCAGGTACCAGCACAGTGGGTACCAGCCTGATGGGTACCAGCACCACAGGTACCAGCCCCGTGGGTACCAGTACCATGGGTACCAGCCCGATGGGTATCATCACCACAGGTACCAGCCCCATGGGTACCGACACCACTGGGTGCCAGCCCAGTGAATACCAGCACGGTGGGTACCAGCCTGATGTGTACGAGCCCCGTGGATAACATCCCCGTGGGTACCAGCCCCACTGCCTCTGCCCCTCCTCTGCCTGCCGGGCCTGGCTCAGTGGCGCCGGCAGGAGGAGCCCGGCTCAGCTGGGGCTGTTTAACCTGCAGACAGGTTTCACCTGGACCCCACTGGGTCTCAGTGGGGGCAGGTCCATAACCGCCCACTGGGGAGGCCTTTCTGGGAGGATGCCCTTATAAACCAGCAGCCTGCTTGCCTCCAGAGCTTTTTCTTTCTTTCTTTTTTCTTTTCTTCTTTCTTTTCCCTTTGTCTTTTAGGAGCCTTGGTTTGGAGGTGGGAGGGTTGGGGTTTCTGGGATGTAGCACCAGAACTTCCTACCCTTCCCAGCGCTGCCAAGCAGGTAAGGGCACAGCAAGGAGCTGCCTCTGCTCCCCTGTCCCTGGGCTGGGGGCTGCAGCCCAGAGCAGGGCTCTGCCCTGGGGCTGGCTGCGGTCAGAGGACGTCCCAGCACCGTCCTTCTCCTGTGTAATGTCCCAGATGAAGGACCATGTCATCACGTAGCTCTGGGGTGGCCTTGGGCCTCAGTTCCCAGCTCAGCTGCAGCACCTCTCTGCCGCTGCAAAGAAATTCCTTCCCGGCACTGCATCTCCGTCCACCGCAGAGCAGCTCCCTCGCCCTGCTCAGCAAGGAGGACTTCTTGGAGGGCTTCAATGGGTATGTGGCTGCTGGGATGGGTGTGGGGGCTGAGCCCTGGTCTTGCCTTGTGTTTGTCCCCAAAGGAACCTCTCCCTTGTCTGGAATGGGTTTAGGTTCGTGGTCTAGCACTGGTGCTCCCGCACCAGGAGGTTTTTAGGGTGCAGGGTGGTGTTGCTCCCCTGCTGCCAAGGGCAAAGCTGGTGGCCCTGGGTCTCCCCAGTGTCTCTGCCATCTGCACCATTGCAGCTGGGACTGGGCAGTGCTGCATATCCGAAAGGCCACCAACTCATGCCTGTGTCCTGTCGCTCTGCCAGGAGACTCTATGACATGAGCGAAGTTTTGAGGGCTGATCTGTTGGACTGCAACTACTCCATCCCCGACCCGCAGCTGGTCCGGAGGATCGTGTCCCAGGTGGAGTTCTACCTCTCCGATGAGAACCTGGCCAAGGATGCATTCCTCCTGAAACATGTCCAGAAGAACAAGATGGGCTTTGTGAGCATCAAACTGCTGACGTCCTTCAAGAAGGTAGGCAGCCTGTGGCACCAGCCAGCCAGGGTGGGAAGTGGCCTTCATGTGGAGGATGTCTGGGTGTGCTCCAACTGTCTCTGGTGGGGTGTATGGAGAGGTCCAGGCTCTGCTCAGGCTGTCCGTGTCCTGGCAAAGCACTGGTCGTGCAGACCTGGGCTGTGCTCTCTGCCTCTGATGTGCCGCAGCAGCTCTCCAACCCGGGAGGGTGGCTGGGGAAGCGGTCAACAGTTCTCAGGGCAGCTCCAGGGCTGGATTCACCTCTTCTGCCCGTGGTTCCCCTGGGCTGCTCTGGGAGAGATCATCCCTTAACTGAATAACTGCAGGGAAGCGCTGGTGGTGTGACATCTGAGGAAGTTGTAGCTTCTTGCAGTGGCCCAGGGGGCACTGGGGACCTTCTGCAAACCCTGAAGATGCTCACATGAAAGGTGGGGGAGATGTTGCCTTGCTGTGACGTCGGGTTGATGGGGTTGCAGCCTGCCTGGACAATAGGTTTAGGATGGTCCCTGCCTGGGGAGACTCATGGGGATGCAGTGGTGCCCCTCTCTCCTGCAGGTGAAATACCTGACACGTGACTGGCGGCTCACGCTCTACGCCCTGCAGTTCTCGGAGCTGCTGGAGGTGAACGAGGAGGGCACCAAAGTGAGACGGCGGGTCCCTGTCCCTGAATCCCTGCTGAGCGTCCCCCCCAGCAAACTGCTGCTGGCCTGGGAGCTGCTGCCCCAGGGGCAGGACATGCCACCGCCGCTCCAGAAGAACTTCCTCGAGACCATCACGAGGATGTTCAGCCCCTTCGGTGCCATCGCCTCCATCCGCATCCTGCGGCCGGGCCGTAAGCTGCCCTCGGATGTGCGGAAATACACATCGCGCTTCCCTGAGCTGCTGAGCAAGTGCTGTGCGCTGGTGGAGTATGAGAGCCTGGAGAGCGCCCGAAGGGCCTTTGAGGGCCTCGGCCACCAGAGCTGCCCGGGTGGCGAGAGCATCAGGGTGGTCCGGCTCTGCGGGAAGGGCTCCAAGAAGAAACCCGGAGCCGAGAGGGAGGTGGCGGAGGAGCGGATGGACCAGCTGGGTTGGAAGACGGCGGTGACCTTCCCCTACGGCATTGGGGACTCCCTGCTCTGCAGCTCCCCGGAGTCAGACGGTGCCCCGGCACTGCCGCCCCTCCTCCTGAACAAGGACCCCCCGGCACCCACCTGGCCCAGTGGTGACTTTGGCAACGTCTTCACCAGATCACTCCTCACCAGCAAAGTCTTCCCTCCGCTTGGGACAGGCTTGGGCACCAGCACCTGCTCCGGTCTCTGTTCCGGCACCGAGAGCCCCTGCGGCAGCAGCTGGGGGAGCCGGGGGGATGCCTGGGCACCCTGGCGCAGCGGTCTCCCTCCAGATGCCAAACCTCCTCCCGGCGATGCCCTAGCAGTGAAGCCGATGCCAGACCACCTCGGGCTGCGGGACGGGGTGCTTCGCCTGCCCCACGGCCTCGATGGCACCAAGGGCTTCTGCGGCAGCTTTGAGAGAGGAGAGCTTGTCCTCCAGCGCTGAGGCTCCTTTACATTTGGGTTTGGGGATTTTTCTTTTCTTCTTTTTTTTCCTCCTCCTCTGGAGCAGAATAACCCTCTGTGGTCCGCAAGAGCTGGGGGCAGTGGTGGTGCAGCTGCTCCAAGGGACAGGAGTTTTGGGTGCGGGACGATGCTCAGGGCGGTGGGTGCGCGAGGGCAGATGCTGAGCAGCGGCGGTGCCGGGACCTGCTCCGCGCTGTGCTGATGCCAACAGGGCTGTGCGCACCTGAGGTCTGCAGTGGCTCCCACTGCCCTGGCAGAGTCCCTGGGACCAGCCTGAGGAAGGAGCTCAGCCCCCTGACCCCTGGCACTGGGAGTGCCCCGACGGGGATGTCCCCCCGCACCTTCTGTGAGCCAGACCCGGAGATGGGTGGCTGCTTCCCGAAGGCGCTGTTGGCTGCGTCGGCCCCCGGTTGTGGAGCTCGGATGGGAAATGGGCAATAAAGAGAGACGAAGTTAACAGGCACTTTCTGGCTGGTGCAGTAATTGATTTTCTTTTTTA